TCCTGCTAAGCAAATGCTGCTGCAGTTATTCAATAAAAAAAGATCAGCTGCTCCACTTCATTTTCAGGATGAAAAATACTTACTTTCTTCCTGCATTCGTGCTAAAATTTGCACATCTGTAACATCATTTAGCTTGTAATTAGACCCAATAGAGTCTTCATCCATCTCTGATGCACTTAATTCACTGTCCAGAGAGGACTGTGGACTTAGCAGAGGATTTCTATCTGCTGAACTTCTAAGATGACCTACAGAAAGAAAATAAAGTAATAGGAAATGTTAAAAAAAATGCAAAAATGCAAGCTCTATTTCCCTTCCTAGTAAAAGAACCACTAATCTGAAACCAGATGATGATGGAGACATGGAGTCTGACAGACCATTTGAAACACCTGATTGCAAACCTAGGCTGAAAATATAATTTACATAAGCAGAGCTTAGCCATTACCTTCTGAAAACTGTATAAAAATCATTATAATGGTGACAAAACAAATTCATGACATATAATCTGGTCTATGTGTACCCAGTTTCAACTGCTATGAAGTCTGCACAGCTCTTACAGAAAGAGCAACTGCATATCAACATGCATTTATGCTTTCATTCTCATCTCTGCACATTACTTTGTAAAATGGAAGTTTAACTATATCTTTGTTGACACTAAGGACTTGCTGTTTGGAATGCTTAAAATACAGTTTATCTGCAAATACTACCTGCTCTATGAACACATCTTTTCTAAACTATAACATATCAGAAAAGCTCTTCCCATTTGCTGCCTTCAGGTTTACACCCCATTTCCAGTTACATTTAATCTCTCTGCCCTGCAGGCAGATACAGGATTCTAGCACACAATACAGAGCAGAGCTATGTAAATTATAAAAAAAAAAAAACAAACCTGAGCGACAGCTCTGGTGAATACACTGCAGTGCAAGTCCACAGTGGACAACAGACAGTTGGATTGTCAATACAATGTTTTTTCATCTTCCCTGCAAGCTAACTTGAGTTAAAGTATACATAATAAGCCAACATTCTGGCTTCAGAGTAGAGATTATGTTCCAGGCATCATTTTTTCTGATGCAAATAAAGTGTCTATGGTACAGAATAAAGGCAGAAAACTTTGCCAGAAGTTAGCGTTTACACTGATGACTGCAAAGCCTCAAGGAATGCCTTTAACTAAAATACATGCTTCTTCCTTAGATTATGTTGTTCATATCTCAGAGGTACTGATGGATACATTGCGTACCAGATGCTTCAGTTAATAAGTAATAGGTAGCTGCAAAGACTTTACAACTACCAACACCTAACTTTTAAACACCTGCTATGCAACTTACATCTCAGTCAATTACAGGGGCGATTCTAGAAGCCGCTTAGGTATGCTGGGACTCCACAGAACTCATGCTAGATGTTTTGGCCTAACTGCTAATATGCATCAGGGATCTTAGGGACACAGACATCCAGAGAAAACATTTCAAATGTATCTCATGCCAGAAAGTCTGTAAGAAAGCCTTTCTTAAGAAGCTTAAATACTGCCTGATGCAAACAAAAAACTGACGAGTTTTTGATGTCTTAGTCTAGTTCACTGAAAACGTAATCTATTTGAGCACATTTTTGAAAGGAAGAGGAGAAAGAAGAAAGGGACAGACCAGACACTCACTCACACACACTTACCTGAGGTACCAGGAGGTATGAGCTGTTTCACTAAAGCAGATTTCACCGGTGTTGAAGAGGGAGAGTTGAAACCGCTGCTGTAGGGGCTACTGGTATTTGGACTATAGGAGCTTGTGTAACCAACCGCACTGAAAGGGCTGCTGTACAAACTCTGTCTCTTGAGAGCTGTATGAAAGAGGAGGAAAGTGACAGATTATACTGGAGGAACCAATAAAAAAATGAATACAATACAATATGATACCTTCAGTGTGATTTAATTACTATTGCAATTCAAGTAGACTGTTTCAGTCACCTGATTTCTTTATCTAGGAGATACAGCTATATTGTGGAAGGAGTGGGAAAAGAGGGCAAGACACAAATATTTTCCTGTAAAAATCAGATGTAAGATCACAACTGATCTCTACTCTTCACGTTCAATGTAGGCCCTGGGAAGCAGAAGGGAAGCAACTCAAAAGACAGTAGTAGCTAAGCTATGCTAACATACATCCTATGCACAATTACATACAAAGAAAAGCACACCACATAGTCTAGTTCTCTAGAATTCCCAGACCTGTCTAGATCACACAGTATTTCAACAGTAACCCCAAGACTGGCACCACAGAACTAAGCAATACAAATCTACAAAATTCCCCAAAGCATATGCTAAAATGAAAAACCATTAAGCATGGCAAATTTTTCTGTTAATATTTCTGGGTATGACGAACCTACTGGGCACAATAAAGCAAATTGACTGTAGAAAATATTCCCTTCTGCATACCTCCTGTTTCTAATGCTTTGGGATTTTTACGTCCATGGGTTCCAACTCCATGCAGGATAAAAGATCTAGAATTGGGTACTTTCCTCTGCTATTTAATGCAAATATTTCAATGCTAAAGTATTTTCAGATGAATTGTAACCAATGGTGAACATTTTCAGTATGACAGTGCGATTTCCCTAGTTGCGAGTTGTATGATTTGTATAGTTACTTAAATGGCTATTTTGTTCAGAAATTTCCATTTTATTTTAATATAATACAAAATGAAACTTCCGTGGGGGAAATGGACATCAAAGGAAATTTGGTCACTTTTGGTAAAATGAGTTCCTTCATTACTCAAGGTATTTTATGCCAAACATAACTGTATTTTAACAAAGAAAAATTAAAATACAATACATTAAACTGAAAGCTAGAGATCTAAGAGTAGATTAAGTTGCAGCCCATCTAGCTGCTAGAAACTAAACTCTTTAAGGCAGCATTGAAACTATGCATATATATCATAAACTGACAAGAACAGGCCAAGCAAGTGTATCACAATACACTAAAACAGTTCTAAAAAAAAAAAAAAAGCCAAAATTAAGCTATTCAAAGAATATTGTGTTACATTTGTTACTGAAAAAGGGCTTCAATTAGTGCAGTAATAATTAGGCTAATGATATTAGTGGACAAAAAAAGAGACAGGAATTGAACTCTAATTTGTTTACTAAAAATCCTTCTATTCATTTTAAGATGTTTTTGTTGTTGTTGTGACATTACAAGAAGCCAGAAGAGACTGCAGTTGCATGAAATGCTGCTTACAGCAGCAAAGCCTGCTTCAGCTCCTCCTCCCACCCCACTCTGGTCTTGGTCACTACCTCCTCAATTGTCTAGTTTTCTGTCTAGTCTGTGCTATTATCCAGACTTCTGAAGTGGATTTAGTTTAAAAACATTATTGCATCAGCGAATTAGTTTCTAGTAGCACCCAAAAAACCACATCATCCAACCAAATATATGGCAGAATGCAGCACATAGGCAGAAGCAGCAGAAATTAAAGTTGACTTTGCAGCACATTCTTTAAATTGCCCCTCATGTAAAGATGCTCTCTGGAGTCTAAACCAGTTAATACTACTAGTGTTTTAATTAGAGTAAAAATACAGTTACAGATAGGGGATGGAAAGTTTATATTCCAGCTTTCACTGCAAGTCTTAAGTGATACACATTAATTTCAGCAATTAGTGATTTAAATGAATTCTAGCAAGTATTCTTGACGTACCTCCAGTTTATTTTGAGAGCATCAGAAGGGAAATCTCAATTTTATTACAAAGCTCACTTAAAAAAACAAAACCGTTAATTACAAGCCGGTTGTATTCTGGTTGACTCTGATGAGATAGCTCCGTTGATAGCAAGTTCTTCTGGCATTCACATAGGAACCTCAAAGCATCTGTTCCAACTGAATCTTTCTTCTCAGGCCAAAAAAATTTACTTTTAATCTCTTGCCGAAAATGACAGCAAAAAACCCTAAAATCTAAGTCTGCACAACAGTTTTTTATTTTGTACTTATTATACAGACAAGTATTTTAAAATATTAACCACAAATTAGAAAACAATTGTACTACTGTATAACCTTCAAAACAGGTTCTTTGTACATATCCATGCAAAATATTTGATCCATAAAGATTTCTTTAGATGAAAGAAAGCATACTTCTGTTACAAAGTATGCTCTGGTACAGCAGTTTTCATCCTAGCTAATGTGAACTTATAGTTTCCTCAGCACTGTATTTTTACCCAGGAAAAGGCTGGATTGAAACCATTTTTCTGGCTTAGAATTCCTAAAGTTTTTCCAACAGGGATTTCCGTAACTTGGGAAGACATTACTGTTTTTACAGCAAAAAGAGATATGGCTTTTATTAGGAATGTCAGAGAACATTAGTAAGATAACTCATTTTAATGTTAAAATTATGCTTTATTAGATGAAACATTAGCTTACAACAGATTACACATCAGCTTTCAAAACTCCACAGGGGAAGGTTAGTGATCAATATTTTTATTTTAATGTAGTTTTTTTTTTTTTTTAACATTCAGAATCAGTATGCATTGTCCAATTTATTTTAGTCAACATTTGGTTAAATTGGTCTTGCAGCTCTCTTTTGGTCTAGAAAATAGGAATAGAAAAATTTGAGCGAAGAACTCATGCTCAGGTTGTTCAGAAGATCTACTGTATGAACGAGGTTCAATTTTTCCAAATGATAGAGACCTGATAATTATTTTTGTTACTATTAGGTGACAAATGTATTCTAGGAGTCCCAGTAGTAATTCAAACCAATCATTAGCGAAGTCTGTCACTGACACCAAAGCTAGCTAAATAGTTGGTTTGGAACTAGCTCAGTGCTTAACTGAAAAGTCAAACTTGCTCACCACTGAAAATATCAATAGGTCTTTTACACATACAGCCACACAGTTCTCCTACCAGCTATACTGATCATGCCTTTGATTTCAAATATTTAAATAAAAATGCTGCCTCAGTAAAAACCGCAATCCAACCAAAGTTACTTTTTTCTAATTCTGTGCAACTATGTCTTAAGAAGACATCTCTTCTAGAAATTCTTCTGCCTAGTATTTCTCTGTTCCTCCAGTTGCTTTCTTGATTTTTGACCACCATGTTGTGGAAGCCATGGTTTCCCACCAAGACGAAATGCACTCTTGCACTTTTCACCAAGGACTTGAGGCATGGCTAAGAGAGGTCTTTGCACCAGAAAATACCCAAAGTTCCCTCTAGTCTGAATGTGCTTCCAATACTGAGCTAGACTCGCTCTGCAATGGTAAACCTGAACTAACTAGTGAGAAGGGACTGCGTATCCTGTGTTCTCAGTAACTGCCCACGTAGTATGGAGCTGAAAGTCGCTCTTTGCTCCTTTATCATCACACAATGGAAAAGATTACTTTATAAGAAGGAAGAGCAAAATGTGGAATACAGGAGTGCATTTGAGACTGAGAAACAGCAAAAAGATAGAAGATTAGAAGAGAAAGGAACAGTAGTAAGAAAAGCCTTATCCATAGAGACTGGAACTGAAATTGATAAACTCAGCCAGTAACTAGTAATAGGTTAAGTGATGGGTCCATGAGGTACAAGTACTATGTAAAAGTCACAAGATATTCCAGAAGTTGTTGGATAGGAAACACACAAAGTTACAAGCAGCTTCATGCTACCCTGTATCTGTAAGTAGACTGGTTGCTCTAAAGTATGACTATTTTTTGTTACAAATTCACTTTTCCATGCAATCTGCTCCAACCAGCAGTATTAGTGCCCATCTCTTCTACTGCTTATATTGTCCCCTATTAGTACTATAGATGAGTTGCGGCATTCTTGCAAGGATCACTGCCAGAGGCAGATTCTCAGGTCTATGGAAAAAGGAGGCAAAGTTGCCTAGACACATCATTTGAAGGATCAAACTTTCAAGTTTGTCCATTTCATAGGGAAGCTTCCTGACGCTCTGCTTCAACTATGACTGAATTTTTAAGGATACCCTACGGGCAAAACAATTTGTGGTACTCCTGGAAGACTTCTACTCAGTTCTGAAAATAGTTAAACAATTAATAGGAATTGTTCATGTTTAACCTAACTGCTATCCAGGCCTAAATACTCAGTAGTATTCAAACTCCCAAACTTGTATCATCATTCATAAATCCCTGTGATCTGGGTTTTCATTGTTTAGAATTTCAGTCTTTGTCGGTAGCAAACTAAGTATCATAGTAACTGTTCAGGAAGATTGTTAACAGACATTTGTCAAGGCAGCATACACAAAGCAAAAGAAACAGGGAAAACAGGGAAAGTCCAAAGAGGACTCATACTGAAGGCACTTTCACCATTAAGCTCATGATTTTTATAAGACCAAGAAATGGACTTCTCACACGATCTAACAGCAATCTTTTGAAATTTTATTACGCACGATTTTAGTACAAACAGAATAAGGACTTAATTGCTCAAGAAAAGAATCCAAGGAGGGGAAAAAATGTTACAGATAAAAAAACCAAACTCAGCACAAAGTTTATGTATAACTGTGATGGGTTAGCCCTTGGCTGGGGGCCAAACCACACACACCCGCTCACACAATTCCCACCCAATGATAGGGGAGAGAATAAAAGGGTTAAATGGTAAAGAGGACTCGTGGGTTGAGATAAGGACAATTTAATAACTAAGCTACAATAATATTAAAAACAATACTATATACAAATATACAAATGAGTGATACACAGTGATACTGCTCCGCCCCACCCAATGACCAAAGGCCCAGCCCACTCCAGGCCAGTGACCCCAGAGGAGGGAGGGAATGAGTGATACATAATGATACTGTCCCCCCACCCAATGACCAAAGGCTCAGCCTGTTGCCAGCTAACGAACCCCAGAACTACACTCACGATTCCCCCAAACGGGGGGAGGAGGGGGGTGCACTGCTCCTGGAGGCACTCACGGAACGGAGATAACAGCCCGAGCATCCCAGACCGCAGTGGGGGGAAAACAACCACCTGGCCACAGCTAATGATCCCCCCGGAGAGGGAGGATCCCAAAACTCATGGAGCGGAGATAACGATTCAAGCGTCCCAGGCTGAGAGAGCTGACCACAGTGTGTGTGTTGGGGGGGAAAGGCCTTAGGAGAGCAAATGCAGACACCTGAAGCAAGATGATCTGAGGCCCGAGGGAAGCAAAAGAGAGAGCTCTCCCCGAAGTGTCCTCACCTATATACTGGGCATGACGTGTATGTTATGGAATAAATCACTGGTCAGTCTGGTTCTCAATCTTAACCTAAGAGCAAATCCTATGCTAGCAAGCAGCTGTCCTTCTTCCCTGGTCTGCTGTCCTTGGCAGCAGCACAAAACATCATTCTTATCAGCTCCTCCTGAGCATAAATCCAAAACACAGCCTCTTGATAGCTATTTATGAAGAAGAGGAAAACAAAATTTCTTTCTGCTTAACCCAGGACAATAACCATGTAAAAGAGCTGGTAGTTGGGAACACTCCTCAAACTGTGTTCACATATTCTTAGCTCAAGTCCCGCCATTCTGCTAATTCCTGAAGATGAAAGTTAAAAAAAAAGACCACATGTAGCACAAGACTGCAAAAAATTGAAATAGAGGGAGAAAAGAGATATTAACAGCAAGAAAGAAAGTTATGTCTCAGTGTAACTTTTTTTAAAAAATAAAAATAGGCTCTAACAAATTAAAATATAGCAAGAAACCAGATGGACAGAGAATTCTACTCAGACCTCAGCATTTTGCTGCTGGTTTGACATCAAAAGGCTGGGAATAAGAGGGTGGAGAATGTAGGCTTTCATCCTCACACCGCTAAACTCTCAGTCCTTCTCCAGTTTTGAATACAACCAACTAATTCGTACTGAGGAAGAATCACGAACTCTGGATTTTTTAGTATGACTATGGATTTTTTAATATGACTGTGAAAAGATCTGCAATTACTGGGGATGGAAGGAAAATAAATCAATATTAACCGCCTCAAGTTATTAAAGGACTTCAGACTTCATTTCCTTAGATGAAATAAAATAGCTCACCTAGCAGAAAACTAAGGTCCGTGTTAACAGTACCAAGTACCTAACAATTATGATAGTTTAATAGAGGCTTCTATTTCAAAATAAGACAAGAAAACCTCTGAGTTAAGAACATTGTGTCTTCCTGAAAACTTATGACCCACACTGTAACTATGCAGGTAGTATAAAACTCTGAAATCATGACTCATGGTCTAATGCTTCCTTTCATTTATTCATACAGTCCAGAAAATCAGTAGAACGAATTGCTGTTTGCAAACCACAATGAAAACTTCAGTCAGAAGCAACTCCTGGATCTCACCCTCTTCTCTCACAACTATCTATTGGCTAATTCTGACTCTGTTTCAGAATAAGTACGTACAGCCCAGTAGTGTTAGTAAGCAGGAACTCACCTGACATTGTCTGTTCCAGCCTGTGGATCAGCAACTTTTTAGCACATTCAATGTCAGGAGTTGGGTAATCCAATACCTGCCTGCACCAAACTAAGGGGCTGACACATTTTTGCACCGGAGTCAGTTTCTTCTTTGGGGACATATATAACCTGAAAATGAGAAAAAAAAATAATCTATGATGACAAGACAAAATAAGCACAAGATCAGGCATGTAACAAAATACCACATACTATGCTATTTCTATTTTTAAACTATCTACACTGCAATCCCAAAATATAAAGAAAGCACAAGTTTTACCTTTAAATTAAATATTCTGGATACAGTATAATACTGATAACATGGCTACCCAACGACTTGCAGCAGGAAGTGATCCCTATATTGCTACACTGGGATATGTTGATTAATATGCCAGAAACAAAAATGTCTTTTCAGAAACATTAGGTATATGGACAATTTCATTATGTTACAAAAATCTACAAATCAGGGTTAATCTTTTCAGATTTAAGTAATATTCACCTGAAAGAAGGAAATATAGCACTATGCAATATGCAACTGTTGTTTTCCTAAACACAAAGATAATACCAAGTGGTAAGCATCTTAATAGCCAAGGAACAGTGCTGAAGTGCACAGAACACACCTACTATTTCAGTATCCTTGAAAAAAAACATTTCATTTTTACTTATAATTTCTATTGTAGCACCTGATCCTTTAGTTTTCCTTTGAACACAGAACAAAAGGACCATCTCTGTCCTAAGGCCTATACAGTCAAGCATTAAAAGCAAGGAACAAGAGAATGCACATAGAGTAGAGAGAAATAATGAGACCATACTGTTCTTCAGGACATGCCAAGGCCTTTGCCCATCAGCACTACCATTCATTTATTTTAACATCAGCATTCCATGACTGAAGAAAGAAGTATTCCAGTTTAAAGGCCCTAGAAATTTAGCCGAAAATGTCTCTTCCCTCAACAAACTGACTAAAGTCACAACCAATCACACTTAAAATAGGGATATTTAAGCCTTATCTTTGGTCTAGAACCAAACTTGGAAATGTGCTTCAGCAAAAGACCACAGTGAACTGCAAGATCTACAGCTCTAACTAGAGCTTACGCATACACAGAAACAGTTAAATGAGTGTTTCTTCTAGGCGTAATGACAGACTTCATACTCCAAGTGAATATGGTTGTACGCTACACACCATAGCTTAGGAACATTTGACAGCCTAATCAGCCATGTTTCCATACAAAACAGCAAAAATTCCTGTTTCCTTTATGCCAATGACAACAACAACACAGAAGTTATTTCCTACAGCTCTATTAAGAGATTATTAGCTGATCCTTCCTTTGTAATCTAGAACTTTAATTCAGTTTGTTCTATAAACAGCTTTAGAAGATTTTTTTTTTTAATTACTACCCTTAAGGTCACATTCTTACAAAAGCTTCCCAAGAAGCATGCTTATAAAACCATCCCAAATATCTTACCCAAAACACTGATCGCTTTGTTTAGAGCATGCTCTGAAACACTCTTCCCTCATAAACACTGAAATTATAAAGCTATGTTCAAAAATCCTCTTTCCTGCATTTGCATTAGCTGCCAGGTTTTCGAAGAAAAATTAAGCCGTTTGCAACAATGCAAATAGCCACTGCCAAATATGTCCACGTAGCTTACACTGGCCAGTATAATGCTGGTTGTTAAAACTGATTTTATAGAAATCCTGACAACTTTCACAAGCACTCTGCCCACAAGAAAAGCTAAGAGCCCATCACGTATTTAAGGCCTGAAGATCCTTAGAAAGCACAAAAATCACTCAATTTTCACAGTTCTATGCAAACAATTACACGAATTGCTGTACTTTCTCCAATTATCTGCATATAGTTAAAAGCAATTTTTAACATTTACTAGCTCTCTAACATTTTGAATTTACTGTCTTTTTAGCATTTATTTGCCTGTACTCTTTTCTGTCCTAAAGTATGTTTATACAATACAAAGAGGTGTCAAAGCCAACAAAGCCAAGGTTTGTGCTGTACAGGCTAGACTCACTCCTAGTTCTCTAGATAGCTGACATGCCTTGCTGTGGTTGAGAAGTTCCATGCACATTTGAAGTGTATACAGTAATACCCAGTATAACAGGCAAGAAATGGAAGTGCATGTCCTCTTTGAGAGACACACAAAAGGGGTATCTTGAACAAACCTACAAAACTAATCAAAATGGCACCTGCTGTTTTAAGTTCCAACACATTCTTTTCTACAGTTCCCAGCTGTTGCATTTGTTTCACAAGTAGTATATTTACTGAAGCAATCCAGGCTCACACAGCTCCCACTTTTCCACCTCTCCTTCTAACCAAACATACACCACAGATTCTCCTACCCCCCCCCTCCAAGCCTTTGCTTCACACCCTACATTTCAAGAAGAGACAGAACTTCAGAATATACACATTTCCTGCAACTCCACTACCTCATGACAAACACCTGTGCATCGACACAGAACACAAGGACTCTTTCCAGGACAGTTTCTTGCACATCATACAACCATGAAGTCTCATTATTATAAAGCAGTGACCTTAATTCTCCTTCTGACAAAGAACAGATAATCTCAAATTTTGAAACTGATGTAAGTCTACTTGCACTGCCCAATTTGGATTGAAAAAAAAGACCAAGGGGAATGCTAAGGATTGGAATGATGCTTCTACTACTTCTTGCTCTCTTCCCAACAGGAGGAAGGGAAAAAGAACAAAAAGGAAACTACGAAGTATGTACAAGTAACTTCACACAGTTAAGCAACATTTTTTGTCAAACTACTGTTTGACCCAAAAGATATAGGCCCTCCTTAGCTGAAGTGCTTTCCAGAAGAGATTCATTTCCATTTGTACCTCTTTCTGCATTCTACAAGAACGCAACAGCACTGACTGTCAGTGCGGCAACTTCAGGATTGAAGATTACCAGCGTGACTTCATACGTCTTTGAACACTACTACATCAATTCCCCAAAACAGGAAGTTTGAAAATGACTGAGGAAGCTGGCAGCTTACAGTTACCACCCATACTACAAATGTTAACACGCCAGAAAACTATGCTGCAATTTCTCCACAAGAGAGTAAAGAGTCTACAATTCAGTGACACACAGTCAAGTAAAAAAAAGCCCAGGATGTTCAATCTATTTTGAAACGCTAAGAAGCCCAGACACTATGATTCTACTGCACGCAGTAACATTCCCTTCCTTCAGCTGTCCCTAGTCAACTATGCCACAGCAGCACCCATCTGAAGTCTAAGGCAGCCAGGGGCTCCACCGATTAGTTCCAGGAAGACGCAGCACAAAAAGGGCAGAGCTTTTGCTGAAAGACTGCAGTCACTGCAAGCTCATATGATAACGCCAGCCAAATGGGACAGGCTGCACTAGGACATAGGTGAGTCAGAAAAGGCTTTGAATAAAGAGGACACTTAGGTAGAAATGGAATACCTGCAAAGGGATTACCTCACCTGAGGAACACCTCCCAGTGCATTAAAATACAAGAGGTTAGTAGCCACAGGCATGAAATCAGAAGCCAAGATTCTAATCAAAGAGAAAGGAGGAGCCTTTTTGTACCAAAATCCTTCTACGGCTCCAGTAAAAGAGTGGAAGGAAAAACATGCAAATGAAGATGAAGTCACAGATCTGAATTAGAAAGAAGATGGCAAGTAGAAGGAACTTGAGTTAAAGCTCATTTATTTTAGCCACATTCACTTTAAGGGAAAACGGGCAAGTACAATACAGGCAACAAAACAAGAGAGCAGACAAAATGTTTGAGACAAAAGCAGAATCAAGAATCTTCAGAAACTGAAGAGAAGACGTGAATAAAAAACAGATACCTAAGGCCAGATCATTAAAAATTTCTCCTAAAATACAGGAGGGAAATCCCATAAGGAAAAGTTACTAAAAATAAACAAATCAGAAGACAGTAATACTGGACAGTCTTGGAGACAGGCAATTTAGAACACAGTGTCAAAACAAACTCTTTTAGATCAATCTAAAACTTTCAGGAGATCCTATCTGGAGCAACTTAAGTAAGTTAAAATCTAAGATGGATTTTAAACAAACGGCTACAAGTAAAGATCTGAAGAGAATCTCCAAGAATTTCAAAGGAAAAAAAAAAAAACCAACCCAAAACCTAAGTGACATCGCTGCACCTATCTGGCCCACAGATTTCCTCTTTCCTTCTCCCCCACCCCTGAAAAGTTCCTATCCTGCAGTTGTAACTGAGACACATCACTCAAGTCTGTAATTACTGATTTGTGGGTGTACTTAACTGAATGCTTCGAGTTCTGAGAGGTAGATAAGTTACAGCAAATTACTCTCAAAAATAAGATACTACAAAAATACTTTGACAATCTCATTAAACCTTCATATTAAAGCAGCATGTCTCAACTACACGATGCAATTTTCAAGTAGAATTGAGAGTATTCAGAGAGGTTGCAAAGTGCAATTAGGAACACAACTACCTTCCTGTCACCAACAATTAAAGACAATTAGCTGTGCCCTGGCTAGTTGCTGGGAATTATAGCCACTATTCATTTCCTCATCTCAAAAGAACATGTTGCTGTCTGAAAGGGACATGTCAGAATGTGAAACAGGAGCCTTCCAAAGCTTGAACACTCCTCTAACACCATCATGTAACTTCCCTAGAACTGTCACACAAACTCCATACAAGTGTCCACTGCTTGAGCAGCTTTTCAGAGGGAATTTGTTTGAGCACATATGCTCTAACATGGTATTGTTGATACTTACATGAAATAGAGAAAAATTGAGAAGTTCTGTGTCCTGCTAAATGTGTTCCAAAATAAAACTACTTAATGACAAGGCTTGAGAGCTCTACCAACACCTACAATAAGTAGAAATGTGAATCATGCTTAAGCAAGACACGATTATGAAGTAAATTTCAGGAACACCATTAAGACAATAAAGAAAATTCATGTCAAACCTTTCATGATATCCAAATATGAAGGATGTTTAAAAGTCATAAATATCACACAAGAAGTTAGAAACAGAAAAAAATTTATTCCCTTCAAAAAACCATGGATATCTCAAAGACATTAGCCAAATGGAATATTATTTGATGTTGCCAGTTGCTTCACTATACGAACTGGTAACTTCTGTAATCCTTAGTTCTCTCACATGCTTCTTTTCATGTTACCTTCCTAGTTCGAAAAGACCTATCTGCATTTGGTTAAAAACTAACAACTTTAAATCAGATTGACATAAGTCTGACACAAAATGAAAAGCATTGATTTCTCTTTTATTTAGGTCACAGGGCAGGAATCAGAAGCTGTCCAATTTCCAAGAGGCCTAAACCACATTAATATAATGAAATTTTAGAAGTCAAAGAGAAAATGCTATAATGTAATTTTAGCAACTGGATTTCATTCACATGCAGCTCTATCCTAAGATAAACGCTCATCCTACACTTTACTAGCTCACTATGGCAAACTTTAGGGTTCCAAAACAAAGCTAGTGCTCAAGGGACATTCAGCAACATGAGATGAAAGACAATCATTACAGGTCACAATCACGTTTTTATTGTCTGTATCTCAAAATAGCCACTCAGCCAGCTAACTGGAATAGATGGTTAGAACAGAAATGTAAGCTGTTAAAAACAGGTGCCAATTTAATAGAAATAGCAGCTGAATGAGAGTGTGTATAATAGTAAAGGCACTTGCCTTCCATTTTAACTAAACAGGATATATAACCAATCCGAGGTCTTCAAAAACACTGAAAATATTACTTTGAACAATTAACACGAACAACCCACCAATAATTTCACTTCAAGCACACAGTAACTGTCTTTTATTTGTAAATGAAGTCAGTCAGCTGTTAGCTATTTCAGCCCTACCAAGGAAACTAGATTGGAGTGACATGAAAACATTGGTAAGTGCTAGGCCAGCTTTTATAGCACTGTCATTTAAAGAGGACGCAACTGTTCAGAAGTTTGCTAAGCAATTATACATACAAAACAGACACACAGCAAGCTCTATACTCTTTCATGCACATACTGCATATAAATTTTGAAGAAAAAAAAGTACTGTATGTTCTGCTTACATTTAAAAGAAAGCTTCTCAGAAAGCTTAGGTATATGACAGTGTAACAAGTTACCACGAAGCAAGTTAAAGTGGATTCACAGCACATTAACTAATCTACAGTAATTGCCCACATGTGCACACTTATCCTGCAATAAACTTGAGATAGCTCACTTTTTAAAAGAAGCATAGCAAGCCACTTTGTGCACTGTTACTAAATTGTCTCGAGTGTGCTACACATCCACACCCAACCTTACCCAGCAAGTCAGACAAGGACTGTGTACTGCGTCCTGCCTGCACTCGGGTCCCCCTTCATGCCCTTTTGCCTTCTAAATTAATTAATAAAATGACCAGTTCAGATTGAAATTTGAAAAAAATTAAATTTCATCCAATCTGTTTCAAAAACAGCTGAACGGAACAGCCCTAGAATAGATTACCAAAGTCACTGTTAACTTCTTGAGGAAGTAATTAGCAGGCCTAAAGCAAAGTCTCCATGGGACAGGTACAGGTCAGTACTGTGTGCATGTGTACCTATTTGCAACCTTCAGCACCCTATTAGGAAGAAAGTTTCAGCACACTAACCAGGATTCAGAAGCATATGGCCAAGAAACTCAATCTAAATTCACTGAAATATTTTTAGTCATTTCCCATACGACTTGATTGTCTCATTTGCTAAACTGTTTGAAACAAAATATATCTGGATTTAACTAACCACAGCAAAAAAAAAAGAAACAAGCAAAAATATAAACAGTACCAAAGTTCACTAATACTGTAGTGCAGTTTTAGTAGCCAATGCTGCTACTAAAGCAGCAGCATCACAGTTCTTTCCACTTGTTAGTAAAACTAGTTCTACTGTCTCCTTTAATTTTTCACTTTACACTTCCATCCTGTGTCCTTCTGTCCTGCTTTTCTCTAAAAGCATTTAAAAATGAGCTGATCAACTCCAAAATATAAATTAAAAAAAACCCAAACCACATATTCCAGTCACAATATCAACTGGTCCATCTTAAATTCATAGCCAAACTTCACAGGCACTAATCCCACGTGAGCATTAAATGTAAACCAGTGTAACTGTAGCAGTGAAGAAAACTATTTCTTCTGCCTTTACAACGCTGCATACAATTTCATAACGAGCCATATGAACACACGGACTGGAAAAATGCCCATATTACACAAAGTAGAGAGAACAGAGATAATCATCATCTTCATCATCTATTATTTCCCACAGCAAGGTCCTTCTGAGATCAAAAGTAAAGACAAATCTAGGCTTCTCTATGTAGGCAATCAAAACAGGCAAGATGAATCTATTTTTCATGCACAAACTCTGATTTAAATTTAGTTTGTTTCCATGTGAGGTTTCCTCAACTGCTAAGTGGTCTTTGATTTCTACAGTGGTACAATCCCATAGTTTAAACAGGATTTTGGGTTAAGCAGGAGTGATCCAAATCCATTTGAACCTGAAGGAGTTCACCTGAGGTTTAAATTTCATTTACTACATTCACCCTTTCAGTTGATTCAATTACTTTTTGAGTGACCTTGCATAACTGATGCCTTACAAGCCTTTATGAAACAGTTTAAAGGGAAGAAATCCACTTACTCATATCATCCCTCTTATTTTCACACGGCTGTTTCATTTTGATTGCTCCACTAGCCCTCTAAAAATTTCCACCTTCATTTACAGCAATAACTTCCATTCATCAAATGCACAAGTACAAAGTCATCCTACCTTCATAAGAAAAAAAAAATGAGTTTAAAGTATTTAGTGCTTCAGCTGTTGAATTAAATGGTGTTCAGAAATTCCAGGAGTTTGATTTCCATTTTTATAGAACAATTTGGGAAAAAATCACAAGTCAATCTAGCCAAACCACATCTATCATTAATTGCATATTAAAATATAGCATGAAGAGACAAAAGGTTTTTTAATTACAGTCATATTTCTTGATATGTACAATAAGTAGATTTTAACAACTGCTCTTTTCTAGGTGCATGCTTTTGTGTCTTAGTCATTGTCCCATGTCAGAGATTGAAAATTAGTATTATAGTTGCCAAAATATTAGCAAACGAATGAAGACATGTAATAGACTACATTTAAGTTTTGCTGTCTTTTGAGGACGAGAACTTGCATAGAAACATGACTGAAGCCACAATAACAGACACAGAAAGTAATGTGCCAAACACCTGGCATCTGTGAAAGCAGTGCTCAGTGAACTATGCCACCTTCCCATGAGCATACAGAAATGCATGAACAAAAACATACAGCACTTATGCCCTCACTGTCAGCATATGTTCTGCTGTGACATGAACTTTCACTGAAGAGATGCGTTATGCTGCCCATGATTTAGGATTAATATATAAAATGATAACATCTATTCTCAATAGAATTCATGACATCCACAAATTTGGCCATCCCACTCCAAACTTACTGTACAAATGTAGCATATTATATTTCCCTTAAGTGCCATAAACAAGTAGATTACAAGGCATAAACTGAGAAATAAGAGTAGCTGCTTTGCACAGCCTCATCATCTGGAAGATGATGCCTTCTGTTAATTTAGTAAACTCATGCTGGATGAGAACAAACTTATTGCCTCATACTTCTTCAGTGGATCAGGCTGGATGTCAGGCAAATTACTTCTCTGAGCAAGTGTACACATTGTCTCATCCGTGAGCAACTAGAACACTGCTCCTGCATGGAACCATTCCAGCATTTTTAAAGGTGTTTCTAACTCTGAAAGACATTTTTGCTTGTTTTTTAAATTCATCTGTGTGTTCCCTCCCAAAAAAGACCTTTCTAGATGAACCTACAACCAGTTCTGACTTAAGTCAAACTGCTTTTGGTACACTTTTCCACCCTGTACATGCTTCCCTTGCATTTCTCTGTTGACACTGTGCTCCTACCCACTACTTTTCCTGCAGCTCTAATGCTGCTCCTCAACTAGTGTCATAGGAAACTTCAAAAAGACAGTTGGAGAACAGCACGACTTTAAGAGAGAGCAAATCTTGATTCTCAGTAGAAACTCATCCAAGTGTAATAGACAAGGTGAACAGCCATCTGTAGGTTTTTCTGCTGGAGCAGCAGGGTAAGCAGTCCATTTAAAAAAAGAGGAACTGCCTAAGGTAAACTGTGATCCTGCATTGTTAGCAATAAATGAAAACACCTCAGGACAACACATTTACGAGATGAAGAAGTATGTTAAATTTGCTGCCTTCCCAGCTGAAAGAAATCAAGGCTTAAAATACGTTTGATGCACATCTGAAGAAGTGCAACAGTACCTGTGGGCTAATCCTGCCCTACCCCAGAAATTTTTCACAAGCTTCTCAACGCCTCCACACCTTCTGAACTTACGAAAACACTGACAACCAATTTTGCGGTGGAACTGGAGCCTGCTCCAGTCTCCAGGTGACCCGATGCAATACTGTCACCGCGGCAGAAGAAAAGCGGACCTGCAGGCCTCCAGGGAGGTGCGACGTGATGTGCAGAAACCAAAACACCCTTCCCCTGGAGACTTCAATACGTCTTGGAGAGCTAATCCCTTCCTCCAGCCCCAGAGGGCGAGGCTGCCTCCCTACACAAAGCCCCGAGACCATCTCCGACACCGGGCACACGTCTGGAAACGGCCCCTTCCTCCCGGGGACGGAGGGGAAGGAGACGACAGTGACCTCCCCGCCTCCCAGCGGCGGGGGACGACGGAAAGAGGCGTCCCCACCCCACCTC